AAGCTCGCTGAAATCGGAGTTCATATGCTCCCAAAATTAATTTTTGAAATTTCCGAACTGATTTTGCCTTGAGATTCGTGCCCAATCAATATAATTTTGAGATGACATATCAATCATGTAGATCTTTTTTTCAAGAGATTTATAGGAGATCTAACTTTTCTCTTCCTCTTACTCCTTGGACTCGATTCGTTCTCTAGTGAGATCTTAATATCCTTCAACAAATAATTTCATATTCAATAATAATTTTTTATATATTTGATTAATTATTAAACAATCACCAAAAAAGATAAAATCTTATTCAAATATAATTCTAATGTTTATATATATAAGACTGAAGAGAAGACTGATGGCATGAGCTAAGCATAGTGGGCTATGATCTTGTGTTGGGCTGCTTTTGCTTAAGGACATTTTTAGCTGACAAGCCACTGAAGCTTTGATTGTAAATGCTTAGTTGTTATGAATACTAACAATATAAATAATGATAATTAGTACCAATTTTTTAATTAAATTCTAAAAAAACTAATTATTTAGAGCATGATACTTAATATACATTATTCTACACAATTAAATTAGCCTCCCTATTTTGAAAAAAAATAAAATAAAATAAAAAAATATTACTTTGTTGTCATCTATAGATTTTTCTTTATTTCTCTAAATTTTGGAGAGACTTCTTTGTTCCTTAGAACATTGTTAAAATTTCTCTCCCATATAATACTACTCCTTTCCCCTCACTTTTGTAGTTGTAATAGTCTCAATGTTATACTACTCTACATTGGCATTACTCTTTTTGAGTTCCAAGAGCATGACTAAAGTCCCTAGCTGCTACAAGCCAATTACATGTCTGCAAGTCAATTACATGTCGAACCACTGTCGACTCTAAATCCTTCACATCTAGTATCTCCTTTTAAAATAGGATAATGAAGCTCCTCAAAGACTCACGCGGCTATTTCCGATCCCCATTTGTATTAAAGACAACAAATACTTCAATGGCATATATATGTATATTGAACACAGGGTGATGAACATCCTCTTAAACTCAACAAATTGAAGTGATCACCCATAATGGAAGATGAAATATACAACCATAGAGACGATTTGTTAAAGTAATAAGGCAAAACTTGAACTTCAATGCATCATCAATGTCAAACAATGATACAATCAATAGGAAATAAGTGACATGTTTAGTTGGATCGATCCGCCTTTGCCTTATACGAATTCAGGTGAGAAAACTTGAACTTTTCTAGAGGCTTTGCCTCAATAATCTCCCTTAAAAACATTTATTAGTGGCAAGTTTCTCTTCTTAGCCCATATTTCTTTTCAATGAAAAGCTGAGGCTGACTCATTACAACTAAGATAATAAGTTGTATCAGCCATTGAAATGGAGGTCATTGCTCTAGCTCTAGAAAGCCTTCTTTCCCTCTTAATAGAATCAAAAGGTCTTGGTGGTATCTCCACCCCAAGACTGGCCCTTCGAATTCACTATAGTGCTCCTTGAATCATTCTTGTTATCCTCTCTTCAAATTCTACAAATTTCCTTACAATGCAAATTCTAGTTGATTCTCAAAGTACCCTGCTAGTTTGTGGCATGCTCTACGTTTATTACACTTTTTAGGATATTAAATTCATAATTATCACTAATCACAATAAACAATATAGATAATACTAAGTATGCAGGAAAAAAAAAAAAAAAGAGAAAGAAAGAATTTTAGGATGAAATAATCAAAGATTTTTATAAAATAAGCTTGAGTGCCAACAATTTGTATTAATTGAGCTTGTCCGTTGACCCTCTATTAATATATTTGAGTTGGGGCTCGGGCATTATAGAATTTAATTGCTATATGCATGATTATAGAAAAAATAATTACAATTATTAAAATTGTGTAATCTAATTAGAATATCCAGCTTGAAGAAGTCGCCCGTCGAGCTAATAAGTCACCGCCTTGGCTTGTCCGAATGGTTGAATAACCAATCACTAAGTTCTCATTTGTATAGTCGCTAGGGCCGACTTTATACACCATACTTGCATAATTGAGGCGAGCTATCTGTCTGGCTTAGCAAGCTTCATTTAAGCTTATATCAAGTAATTCAAGTTGACTTAATTTGAACCAGGATAATTTGGCTCAAACATGACCGACTCAACTTAAACCTAATTTTTTAAATGTTAACTTGTACAAATATAATTTATTTTTAAATAGCTCATAGCATGACATTTAACATGCATTATTATTTTGATTTTTTTTTTCAAAATACATTGAAATTTAAAAGTATAATTAAATAAAAATAAAACTATGATCAAAACTATTGTCATAACATAACTCCTAAATAATGAAATTGTCAAAACAATTGAAGGGTACTGAAATGAACCTTTTTAAAAACAAATTGCTATCCAATGCTTAAGAAGGTATGCAAAGCAATAAATGAATTAAAAACCCTTAAAACATTAATTTAAGTGCCATTAACCAATTAATCTAATAATTTAATTTATATCAACTTAACAATTTCAAAATCTTGCCCTTTCGATCACCCATAAGTATTTTGTAACTATTCTTTTTTTGTTTTTAAATAAATCAAATTATATATAAGGACAATCAGAAATAATTCATATATTTTTTCATTATTTTCAATACACGAACTCTTAGCCATTGAGTCTTGCACACCATGTTCTCATAGCTGCATAAATTGATTTATGTAATATTTATTAAAATTACAAAAAAATTAGAAACAGGTTGACCTGGTTATATTTAAGGTTGGGTTCGAATTTGAAATGTTGACTTGATAACTTTTTTGTGGGATTTAAGTTGACCTGTAAACTCAAAATTGCCCTGAGTTCTACTGATGTTTTGATTTAATATGTCAAGTTCAGGTTAAACGGTTCATCTTTGAATTAGGTGGGTTATGTTCAGGTTAAACAAATCATTTTGATTCAAAAAATTTATATAATCCATATAATAAGATGGGTTAAACGGGTCGTGATTGAATTATGCAATTCTGGGTCAAGTTAGGTCGAATCCAATATTTTGACCACTATAATAAATATATCAAGTTTAGACAAACATACTCAACATGTCAACTTTAGATTAGATGTGAAACCGACCCACCACTCTCAATTACAACCTTATATATAAAATATCAAATATATTTTTATCTAATATAAAAAAAAACATAAATATAAAAAATAATCACAAAATGCTCCTAAGCACGAGAAATTATTCTGTGCAAACTGTTCGAATATCAACCAGAAAGCATTACGTCACCCGATACATAGTGGTACTGAGCACCGGTACCGAGTAAAAAAACATGACGTGATACATTCTGAATAATCTCCGGACGCCATCCAATATCTGCACAAAATAATTTTTGACTGAGCACAACACAGACATGAGCATATCACCATATTCTAAAATGGGAGTTTAATGCATCAACATTTGAACTGTCTTCCACTGCGCTAAAAAAACAATGGAGATTTGGAGATATTCCTATGCAAGTTTTATGATTCATGGAGGCGAAGCGGTGCCGTAGCGATTGACAAAAAAAAATAGGCGCCATGCCGCTGGATCAACGGTCGAGCGCTCAACATGCCCAATAAAAATATGATTGAATAGCACTTTATAACATAAAATATATAATATTTAATATAGATGACAAATTTTTGATGTTCTTCTTTTATGTGTAGATTATGATGTATTTGATTAAAAAATAATAAATAAATAACATATATATCACGCAACAAAACAAATGTTGCGTGATATTATGAGATAAATGAAATAATGATGATATTAATACAACATAATTATAAAAAAAAAAATACTTTTTTAGTTTAAGAAGAGACAGCTGAAATATATTTTTAAGAATTAACTTAAGCTTCATTTGTGACGATTTTCTTTTTTTTTTTTTAAATAATTTTTTAGAGTAAAAATTTTAATATTTAAACTAGAAAGCTGTTTTAAAAAGCTTAAGGTTAGATTACCATATATATTTAAACAATATATTATATGTTGTCTCCTACTGTAGCTGTGATCCCCTAAATTGGTAGCAGTGCACCATAATAGAGCAAATTCATGAGGAAATCCTTTACGACAAACATGATGGATATAAATTCTATAGCCATTTCTGCTAAAAATAAGATGAAGGAAGGAGAAACAGAGACAGAATAGAAAACATGGAAAAGAACCAGAAAGTTTCTCAACCAGGATTCAGTAAACTAGAAGAAAAAGTCAGAGCTGAATATATAACCACTGTGAATGCTGAAGGGAAGAGACTATATGACTTTCAATTTCTCAGTCCTCCAATTGCAATAACGACATCAAGACTTATTGCTTCTTAAAGTAGTTTTTTAATGCAAAAGTTTAAATTTTTTTACTAAAAATTCACTTTAAGAAGGAACAAGAAAGCCGTTCCAAACGAACCTTGAGGCTTCATTTCGAATCGCCTTTTCATTGCTTTAATTTTCAAACCACGCTTATATTTTTTGTTTAGCAAATTTTTCTGTACTTACAAGAATTTTTTGGACTAATAATCTATTTTCTATAATAACTTTCAAAAAAAAAATTTATTTTTCTCATAACAATTTATAACAAACTTTATAAAAATCTAAATGAATCCTACAGCTTCTTTTGGGAAAAATTTTTATTGCTTTTTAAAACATCTATTAAGTACAAAAAATTTTAAAAACAACGGAAAAAAAAAAGATAAAAAACTATCCCAAAGGAGGCTTACCTATAGACAAACTAAAACCAAGCAGTCAATCCTGATTTTTTCACAGGCTCCAATGAATGAAGAATCTCTCAAGAAGAAACAATGTCGATTATCACTACACCAGAATCACGATTTATCATGATATTTGCAAGGGTTATGGCCATGGATGGGGATTATAATTACTTCATTTGTGTTATAAAGTGAGAAAGAATTTCAATAATAGACAATGGAATTAAGAGCTCTTCAATGATATTTAAGATACTAACAAAATAGCAGAGATCCAATCTGAGATTGCCATGAATTGATGATATGCCAAATCTCTTTATTTTGGGGTTGAAAAAAGGGCAACTTTTAGGTTCCACAAATACATAATTCACAGTTGTAAAAACTAAAAACAACAGAATACCTTCTGTCTTGAGAGAAAAGAAGAAAAAAAGATCAAAGATCTTTTCAAGGATCAAACTGTAAGAGAAACAAATAAAACCAGCGAGAGGAAATCAATTTGCACCTCAATAATGCAATCTTGTTGGAGCGAACATTCAGGAAACAACTTACTTACATGGTCTTATTACAATGACAAAGCTAACTGGCGCAACGTAATCAAATGACCATCAGGACATTTGAAAATTCCTAGTCGTCTTCTAATGAGATCAAGTTTCAGAATCAAGTCTGTTTCTCCTCTGCAAACAAAGAGAAACCCATCAGATCTCTCTCGATAACCTTAAAATTATGAAAGAGGAACAAAAGGTTAAACGAAGAAACGGCAGCCTAAATTATCACCTCGCTCGCCAATTTTGTATAAATCTGGTGTTACTTCGGATAAAAATGATCCAGGAAAGAGTGCCTGAAAACAGTCGAAGAAGAAAAATAAAAATTAGTTCCGTTAAATTCCAAATAGGCGAACAGATTTCTTAATTAGAAGAAAAGCATATATAAATTCAGAATACAGATCAAATAATCATTTGAATCCGATTTTCTTACTTCGAGCTGCCTCTGCAAATATCTAGCTCTCTTTTTTGGCCTCCGAGGAAGCTTCGTACCCTTCATTGCAATAAAATCTTCCTCGATCTCCACCTTCGAGAGAGAAATCGAGAATTTCCGCCTTTCCCCCTTCTCAAAGCCCTCCAATCGCGATCGAAGCACTCGTACCGGATTAAGAAGCTTGTCTTGCTTAAGGGGAGAAGAAAAGGACGAGGGAGATGGCGACAAGGAAGATGAAGGATTCAAATTCAGTCCGATCTCCGCCTGGGCATTGCAGGCGGCTTTCCTGGTTCTCAAATTCCACGGTATCACCGAAGTAGCTACAGCCGGGGCAGATTCCTCCGCCTCCTCACCATCAATCCTTCGCTTCTGTCCACGGATCCGTAAAGGCGTCCTCAACCGTGATTGCACCGCCTGGCGCCTTTCATCAGAGGATGGCGATGAGGAGCGCCTCGCTGCTATCTCGAGCTCCTCAGCCGTCGATCCATTGGATGAATTGACGCATCGTAAAAGCTTCTGGTTCCCCCAGCTTAGGCTCGGTAAGGAGAAGTTATGAAGGCGGGAGTGTGAGTCCGCTTTCCTGGAAGTCGACTGCGAAGTACGTTTCTCCACCATTCTCGATGGTTCCCTCCGAATCCCCGCCCCATCTTCCGCCGCGATCACCATCTACAACAACCAATTCCCTCTGTAGAAGAAGAAGAAGAAGAAGAAGAAGAGAGAGAGAGGGGGGAGAGAGAGAAAGAAATCAGAAGTGAAGCAGAAGAGGGAGATTTGTGTGCATTGGTTACGCACCGGGAGGGAGGGTGCCCCTTAAAACACAGAGAAAGCTTAGCTTAAGATCAGCCGTTCATTTCATCCAGTGAGTTACGGGCATTGGATGAACGGAGATCCGAGCTACGCATAGAAAAACTATGCGGTGCGACCGATAAAACTGCTGGATGGCAGCGTAGCGATCAATTTTAATTCCTACCGTCCGATTGCTCTAAATGGTCGCTGGTGGATCCAAAACCAAAATAGTACTAAGCCTAGTTGACAGGCGCCAGTCACCAGATTATTGAAGGCAAATTTTTAAAAATATAATGCTGATTAATTAATTTAAGATAATCATTAAAAAAATATAAATATACCTAGTCTTCTTCATAGGAGGATTAGACTGCTAATGTGGCTACTATATTGTGAATGAGGAACTTTTATTAGGTCCGGTGTAAGGACGTAGAGGAACGTCCGGTCGGAGGCAAAATTCAGCAAAAAAACTCGGTATTTGCTCGGTATTACTAGGTATTATTGGATAATAACGAGGAATACTGCTCTGTGAAGATCAATACCGAGTTATACCGAGCAATACCGAGTTGTATTGAGTTTTTTCTAGGAAAAACTCGGTACAACTTTTGTATAACTCGGTATTGCTCGGTATAGCTCGGTTTAACTTGGTATTGGATCTTCACGTGATGATATTCCTCGTTATTGTTTGGTATTGCTCGGTATTTCTCATTTTTTGGCGCGATTTGGCCTCCGACCGGACGTTCCTCTACTTCCGGTCGGAGGACGTAATAATTGTTCGTGAATGAGTATGTAAAATTTTCAAGATTATTTAATTTATAAATATACCTAACCGGTTGAATCGAGAACCAGCTCGTCGGCCAGTCCGGACTTTTAGTATAACCGGTGTTAATTGAAACCGGAATGAAATCTATTGGAATCGTGGCCAGTCTACCGATGAATCGAATCTGGTTCTCCAAAACCAGATTTTGAAATTTGGTTGTTTCTATATGTCACTCGCATTCGACTCTATCCCAACCCTTTTTTGCGTTCGATGTTCCCGTTCCCGCTTCCATTGTCGTCCCCATTTGAAGCTTCTCATACGTGAAATCGGTGGTGGATCTTCAATAATCATCGGCCACCGAAGCTTCTCGCCGGCTCATGTAACAATTCATCTAGATCTTTACATATTTCCTACTAGAGTATTTAAGAAACTATTTTCTAGAAAATAAGGACCATATATAATCTTATGATGAATTCCTACCATCTTACAATACTTCAAAAAAATAATATCAATCAACATTTTAATGGATGTAATTTGACTTTATGTTATAAACCATGAACTAACAGCTTGAATTTTTCTTTCCATATTCACTTTCAAAATACACATCAAATTCATCATCTAAATCATAATCTTATGCTAGAAGCTATAGTATAAGTAATAAGTCAGGTTCCCTACTAATAGTTATCAACTTATCATTATATATTATTATGATATGAGGGAAGAAAATTAGATGCCTTCTTCCACTTAATTATATCAATATTATGTTATTTTTAAATAAAATAAATATATATTAAGTCATCTGGTTCAATTCCGATCAAACCATCGAACCGTGAATCTCTCCTTAATCCGGTTCGTTGTTCGGTCTGATTTTCTCAACATTGATTTATTAAAAATTTTAAATTTTCTTTATTTTTTAAATAATATGATTGAAATCCTATGAAAATAAGTTTGAAAGTGTTGAAAACTTCAAAAGAATCAGTCATGACCTCTATAATATATTATTTGAGCATCGGGTTTTTTTCTCAAATTTCCAATAGATTATTGTTCGAGGGAATATTTGAATTTTGGACCATTTCCTTATAGAGGTGGAGGCAGTAAATCTGAAAAAAATGAGGAAAAAGGAAGGTTGTGGAACCTATTATGGATGGTTGAGTTGTGCTCCTAAGGGCATCTCCAACTAAAAATCTCATTTTTCACTCCAAAATACAGAGAAATTAAAAAATGTCATTATTCATCTCGAATCAAACCCTATTTTGCGCGCTTTTGAAAAGGTAAACGTTTTTCTCCTCTTTCATGTGTTTCTTCGATAAGTCCAGTTGAGACTAAAAAATCGTGTAGGTGAACAGTGCATCGCAATATTGGCGTCGCACTGTTCACTCGCAATAAAAAAGCGAGAAAAATGTCAATTGGATGGAGCGACGAAAGAACATCATACAAATGTATGGTGTTCGGTTGAAGATGCTCTAAGAGTTTGCCATTCTTCCGTGGCTCCAACCAAACAGGCAATTTTTACGTCATTTCATCGCGGATAAACAGTGCGACGTCAATATTGGCGTTGCACTATTCATCTTCGCCATTTTTTGGCCTCTACCGAACTTGCCGAAGAAACGCGCGAAAGAAGAGAATGACTGTTACGGGGCAAAATGGAGTTCGATTGGAGATGAATCACTGCATTTTTTACTTTCACGATATTTTTGAGTGAAAAATGAGATTTAAAAATTAGATTTTCAGTTGGAGATGCCCTAAGTAGATATAGAATGAGCTAAAATTTGTGTGTGAAGTAGCGCAAGAAAGGCGTTGAGTTAATAAATAACAATTAAGATGTCCCTTATTTGGGAACTTTTATTACGTCCGGTGTAAGGACGTTGAGGAACGTCCGGTTGGAGGCAAAATCCCGCCAAAAAACTCGGTATTTGCTTGGTACAACTAGGTATTATTTGATATTAACGAGAAATACCGCTCTTTGAAGACAAATACCGAGTTATACCGAGTTGTCCCGAGAAATACCGAGTTGTACCTAGTTTTTCTAGGAAAAACTCGGTACAACTTTTGTATAACTCGGTATTTCTCGATTTAGCTCGGTATAACTCGGTATTGGGCCTTCAAATGATGGTATTCCTCATTATTGTTTGGTATTGCTCGGTATTTGCTCGGTACAACTCATTTTTTGGCGGGATTTGGACTCCGACCGGACGTTCCTCTGCGTCCGGTCGGAGGACGTAATAATTGTTCCTTATTTGGAGGTGAAGGTCATACATGATCTTTACAAAATTATAAAGGCGATCGTAGGAAGGTCAAGGGGGTGGCTAAACATGATCATATTATTCGTCCCCTAGGGATGATAACAAAAGGAATTTGGAGGTGTTTTCATAGATGATGAAGAAAAGTCATTGAGAAAGTCCCCCCCTTAAAGGAAGGTGGGAGTAAATGTCTTCGATCTATTCATAATCAATGATAAGGAAACTGTGATATTTTATCATAAAATGTTTTCTTTTTTATACTAACTAAGATGCATTGGGTTTGAAGCTTACGTATGTGATGTGTCTGTGAGTTTGTCTTAATTGACCTAAAGGTCATAAAAAAAAGATATTGCTAGAAATATGATGATGATTTTTTTTAATTTTAATGATCATTGATTTTTAAGAAGCATCACATAAAAAACACTTATTTTGTATATATTTATGCACATTTAGAGGCCATTTGAACCTTCAAATAATTTTGTGAACTGTTCTAATTTTTTTATAACATACTTTTTTAGATCATTTGGAATTGGATCATGAAGATTTCAGCCCCATTAGAATTCTCTCATTAAGGTTTTATTTGGGAACGGTATTCCTCGTTATTGTTTGGTATTGCTCGGTATTTCTCATTTTTTGGCGCGATTTGGCCTCCGACCGGACGTTCCTCTACTTCCGGTCGGAGGACGTAATAATTGTTCGTGAATGAGTATGTAAAATTTTCAAGATTATTTAATTTATAAATATACCTAACCGGTTGAATCGGGAACCAGCTCGTCGGCCAGTCCAGACTTTTAGTATAACCGGTGTTAATTGAAACCGGAATGAAATCTATTGGAATCGTGGCCACTCTACCGATGAATCGAATCCGGTTCTCCAAAACCAGATTTTGAAATTTGGTTGTTTCTATATGTCACTCGCATTCGACTCTATCCCAACCCTTTTTTGCGTTCGATGTTCCCGTTCCCGCTTCCATTGTCGTCCCCATTTGAAGCTTCTCATACGTGAAATCGGTGGTAGATCTTCAATAATCGTCGGCCACCGAAACCACCGAAGCTTCTCGTTGGCTCATGTAACAATTCATCTAGATCTTTGCAGATTTCCTACTAGAGTATTTAAGAAACTAATTTCTAAAAAATAAGGACCATATATAATCTTATGATGAATTCCTACCATCTTACAATACTTCAAAAAAATAATATCAATCAACATTTTAATGGATGTAATTTGACTTTATGTTATAAACCATGAACTAACAGCTTGAATTTTTCTTTCCATATTCACTTTGAAAATAAACATCAAATTCATCATCTACATCATAATCTTATGCTAGAAGCTATAATATAAGTAATAAGTCATGTTCCCTACTAATAGTTATCATTATATATTATTATGATATGAGGGAAGAAAATTAGATGCCTTTTTATACTTAATTATATCAATATTATGTTATATTTAAATAAAATAAATATTTATTAAGTCATCCGGTTCAATTTCAGTCGAACCATCGAATCGTGAACCTCTCCTTAATCCGGTTCGTTGTCCGGTCTGATTTTCTCAACCTTGATTTATTAAAATTTTAAATTTTCTTTATTTTTTTAAATAATATGATTGAAATCCTATGAAAATAAGTTTGAAAGTGTTGAGAACTTCAAAAGAATCAGTCACCTCTATAATATATTATTTGAGCATCGGGTTTTTTACTTTTTTCTCAAATTTCCAATAGATTATTGCTTGAGGGAGGTGGAGGCAGTAAATGGAAATTTGGAAAAGGAAGGTTGTGGAACCTATTATGGATGGTTGAGTTGTGCTCCTAAGGGCATCTCCAACTGAAAATTCTATTTTTCACTTCAAAATACAGTAAAATTAAAAAATGTCATTATTCATCTCGAATCAAACCCTATTTTGCACGCTTCTGAAAAGGTAAATGTTTTTCTCCTCTTTCGTGTGTTTCTTCGGCAAGTCCAGTTTAGATGGAAAAATCCTGTATGGAACAGTGCATCGTCAATATTGGCG